AAATTCAGAAGCCACTCGATAGAGCCGTGTGGTGGACAGAACACGTACTCCGACACGGCGGAGCTGAACACTTACGAACACCGACCGCAAATTTGTCGTGGTATCAATATTACCATGTTGAATTAATTCTATTCACAATAAGTTATTTTTGTTTTATTGTCGGATTGTTCCTTGTTATATTATATTGTGTTGTAAAGAAATTATTTTTATACCCGAGTTATCAAAAATTAAAAAGTAAATAGGAAATGCTGTTTAAATTCTAAGAGCCTGTCACACCAAATTGTAAATTGTTTGATAAAAATCGAAGGTGTAAAATATGTGATGGAAATATCGGATTTTGTTTCTTTATTTTACAGTAACGTCAATCTATACTATCATAATAAAGCATAAACACACACTTCTTTGTTGCTGAAGATGTTAGCAATTACAGCATATTTTTGAATAAATCTTTTTTTAATAAAAAGCCCTACACTTACGTCACGCTTTAGGCTATATATTTTCACGCCATTAAACTTAGGTGCTAAATATTTTAGATAAAAGCCCTAATGTGCGAAAAAGACCAAAGAGGAAACTAAATGTCATTATTATATTTAAAAACTAATAAAGCCGACTAACTAATTATACTGTGACCTAATAAAATTTAATTTAGAAATGGCTGTTAAGGTATATATATTCATAATTACATTTTTATTCAAACTAAATGCACCTTTCTCTTCTTTCTCTTATCTACGTAATCATGTTGCCAAAAAGTTTATTCTTTGGAGAGATGAATTAACTTTTCAACAGAATTAGTTAAATTTTACGAACAATGGGTTCAGTTGAAAGTTCAACTAAATAGGAACAAATGACATTTAAAAGTCGTGTAAGAGCGTGCGTCGAAACCGAAGTATCGCACAACTGTTTAGTTGCTTTGATTCCTTGGAGCTTATATGGAAGTATTTGATTTTTAGTTGGGCAACTAAACAGTTGAATTGGCTGCGAAACAATCGACAATCGCACAACAGTGTGCGATAATTTAGTTAAAGGTGTGCGCCCGCTCTACAATTCAGACAGAAATGTTATGTAACAAAGAGATTTACAGTAATAAGGGGACTAATAATTTAAACAATTAGTAAATTTAGGGCTGTAAAAGCCAATACACCTCAGCCTCATTTAGTAATTTTAAATTATCACCCTTTAAATATGACAATGTCGCCTTCGCTGAGGGTGGTATGTGTTAGCGAAGGACAAATGCCGTCTCCTAGAGATAAGTACGAAATAGATAAAAGAACTACTATGAAAAAAATACAATAATAATGGCAGCCTCCCTTTGACGCAGCTTTGTTCATAGGCCGGCGACGTCTAAGGCTTCATTTGTATTTAACTGGCCATACTTGTAGCTAACTGTTTGCAAGTAAATCAATAATTGCATAATGTAAACGGGTAATCAGTCGGCCCTATGGGATTTATCTCCTCATTGGGTCAATTGATTGTACTCGATCGGCAAAAAAAAAAACATTGAGGACAATGTTCGGTAGATATATTTAATAGAAAACTAATACACAAGTAAACTAAAACAAACATTTTTTTCGTTTCTTAATTCCATTTTCATTTTAACCTATTTCAAAACTAGCTGTTCCCGTGCGGCTTCATCGGCATGAAGTTATGAAAATTTTACTGTATTGTTTACATTTGTCAAATTATCAATAGCAAATGTCAAAATGACATGACATGACAAACTATAGCAATCTTTCTTTCTTGATATTGGCAGCAACTTATGGTCTCTTTCCTACATTAGGCTTTTTATCCAAAATTTTTACCTCTTAAGTTTAATGGCGTGAAA